GTTCCTGCTCACTGGCTGAGCGCGGTGCGGGCACGACACCGAGGGTTGTGATCCCGTTGCTGGTCAGTAAAAAAAAAAATAAAAATAAAAATAAAGTCAAGGTAAGATAAGACTACTAAATTACTACTATTATTTATCATTGTTCAGGAGGTTCTAACCAAAAGTATGAGATGAAGAAATAAAAGAATCAAAATTAGAAAGAGGATATAGTTATTATTATTTGAAATAATATAATTGTTTTCCTAGAAAATCCAAGGGCATCAAAAGAAAAAGAAAAACTATTACAAGTATGGCCTTCACACACACACACACACACACACACACACTCTCTCTCACATACACACACATTCACACACACACACACACACACTAGCAAAATAATACAAAAGAAAAGACATAATTTATGATAATAGCAAAAAGGCAAAACACCTAGAAAATCTTAAGAAATATGCAAAGTTTAGAAGAAAACTTTAAAATGCAATACAAAAGTTAAACCAATTAAAAAGATATTCTATCATTTTAAATAAGAATGCTCAACATCAAAAAGGTGTTAATTCTCTCTAAGTTATACCCATATAATTTCATGCACTCCTAATTAAAAATAATACTTCTAGGATTTTTTGAAAAGCTACTGGTGTTATTAGACAAGTTGATTCTAAAGTTCACATGGTAAGATAACAATGTAAAAACAGTGAGGTATCTCTCCAAAAAGAGGAGCTAGGAGAGGAATCAGCTCTCCAAGACGGTAAAAATACATCCTAAAGCAGTGCGGTGGACAGATGGGAAGTTCAATGAAACAAATTACAAAGATGGGAAATGTGCCAAAGACACAGACTCACGTAAATCAAGTATGCAACAAAGGTGCATTTCAAATTAATAAGGAATAGATGTAAGGGCAGTAAGCAGTTGGAAAAAACTGGATAGCCATCTGAAACAAACAAAAAATGGAAGACTAACTACCTCACCATTTGATCTCAATAAATTCTAGACGAATCAAATGACTGTGAAAAGAGAAACCATAACAGTACCAGGACAACATGTGGGAAATCTGGGTTTATGATCTTAGAATGAGGAAAGCTTTCCTATGAATGGTATAAAGCAAGATTGATAAATTGGGCACATTAAAAACAAAATTTATAGCATTTTAAAATAAACAAAAACTCCACCATAAACATAAATGATAATCAAGAAATGGGGGGGCAGGTGGGAAGTTCTATAATTCATAAGCCCATTAGGTTAATTTTTATACATATAAAGAGCTTCTACAGTCAATAATAATAAGAAATATAAATAAGAAAAAAGGAAAATGGATGCAACAGATGCCTCACAGAAAAGGAAATACAAATGACTCTTAAGCATATGAAAAAATGACCAACCTCACTCCAATTAGAGTGTTCAAATTGCAATTACATGGCATGGGATAATATTTTCCACCTATTAGACTGGTGAATATCAAAAAGTTTGATAAACACATTGTAATGCTCCAATGTAATTGAAGACATGGTGATGTAAACAAAGGACATTTCAGTAATGTCTGCCAGAATTACAAATGCACGTATACTTTAACCTAGCAATCTTTCTCATCTACAAATATGCTCTCATACATATGCAAATGACCTATTTTTTAGCATGGTCTGAAATAAGGAAAAGATGGATAGCAAATTAAATATCAGCAAAGGGCCAGTTAAGATATATTATTAATAAATATTATAAATAATACTACAATTAGATCAATCAATATTAATATAATATTAATTCCATATCATTTGATGGAATGTAATA